CACAGGCGAGCAGAAATCCAAAGCCAGTAATCCCCTATTGCTATTTTAACTTAGGGCAAGCTCCCTCTTGTGAGAGATTAGGCCTCCCTCTCTGTGTCCCTCAGAGTCCCTTATTTCTTCTAAGATAGTCTGGAAAATGGGGATATCTGCATCACAATGGCACAGCCTTCTGCTGCCTTGTTCAGAATAGAGTAGCCACAGGATGTGGAGGTTATGTCAGAGACACAGAACAGTGAGCAGCAAATAAAGGTTTCTTGCAGTATTGGGCCCTGGGTCCCCATTGCCCAGAAGAGAAGCCCAGCCTGCCTTTTGGGTCCTTCAGGTACGGAGAGGCCTTTCGGAAATTGTACTTAGGAAAGGGCCTCTTCTTGACCCCCTTCTCAAGTTGTTTTCTCTTGTAGGGTACTGCTTTACTCTAGATACTCATTTGTTCATACAGCACTTTTTGTTTTTTAAAGATTTGTTTATTAGAGAGTGAGAGAATGAGCAGGAGTATGAGAGAATCTCAAGCAGACTGTGCTGAGCATGGAGCCCACCTTGGGGCTCGATCCTAGGATGCTGAGATCATGACCTGAGCCGAAATCAGAGTTGGATGCTTAGTCAGCTGTGCCATCCAGGTGCCCCTTATTCAACACTTAATAAGTGCCTACTCTTGTGATTCCTTTTATGTTCAAGACACATTTCCAAATACTAGAATTTTGGCGACACACTTGAAGAGATTATTGTGTCCACAGTTCTAGTGTTCTTTCCTTCATCACAATTTAGTTCTGGGTGACATTATTACAGCAGGATTCACCACCTTCCCTTTGATACTCCTAAGGAAAAGTTCTTGCAGTTTCCAGCAATAACAATAGTGGCAGCAGTAGCTAGTATTTACATACTTTGTAATGTACCAGACACTGATCTTTTTTTTTTTTTTTTTTTTTTTTATTTACGATAGTCACACAGAGAGAGAGAGAGGCAGAGACACAGGCAGAGGGAGAAGCAGGCTCCATGCACCGGGAGCCCGACGTGGGATTCGATCCCGGGTCCCCAGGATCGCGCCCTGGGCCAAAGGCAGGCGCCAAACCGCTGCGCCACCCAGGGATCCCTAGACACTGATCTTAACACATGAATTGAATTAAATTTTATACTGTAGCAGCCCCAGAGATATTTATTGCTGTGCCCATTTTACAGATAAGGTAACTGAAGCATTAAGAACTTAAGACACTACCCAAAAGTCATGTCACACAGCTAGTTCAGTGACAGAGTGAAGGCATTTTGGCCTCAGAGGCTGCTCTCCTGACCAGATTACATGGCCTCTTTGTGGGAATAAACATGTAGGCTTCGGCTCCTGCTTGGTGACAGGCCTCTTCTCACAGCAGATTATTCTCCTCTCTATGCTGTATCATATGACCCACTCTACTTTGGAAAGATAGCACCTCATAGGCTCAATTAGAACGTAAAATTTTGTACAGTGATAATTTGGCTGTGCACCTGGAAGATTCAAGTGCACTGTTATGTCTTGGCTGCTCATCTGCTTCAGCCAGTCACGCTCTTGGGTATACTGTATTATTCGAGAATCAATCTGTCCACCTTACTTTTTTTTTATATAGATTTATTTTTTATTGGTGTTCAATTTGCCAGCATATAGAATAATACCCAGTGCTCATCCCGTCAAGTGCCCCCCAGTGCCCGTCACCCAGTCACCCCCAACCCCCGCCCGCCTCCCCTTCCACCCCCCTTAGTTCGTTTCCCAGAGTTACGAGTCTCTCGTGTTCTGTCTCCCTTTCTGATATTTCTGTCCACCTTACTTTTAAGAAACTCCCTAGGATAGGGAAGACTACTGTAAGCAACCATGAGACAAGAGACTGCGAAAGTTACAACTTCCTGGCTAGTTTCCTAATGTCGTCCAATGTCAAGGAGAGAGGGTCCAGGAATACCAGCCTCTTTAGGAATATACCCTCCTCTCAGATGCCCAGGCCTCAGGAAGATTGTTGCAGTCTCAGCCTGGATCATTGTTCCTTGCAGGATCTAGCATGACCTAGAGTAGATATATCACCTACTAAAGTGTTGAGTGGCAAGTCCTTGAACTTCCTATCCTTGGCCTACTTATCCTGTTCTCTCTTTCTTGAAAGAAGCAAAAAGGAAAAAGATTTAGGATAGTTTTTGTTAATTGGTCTAACACCAGAGTCTAAAAGGACTTGAAAGAAATGGAATAAACTTACTTCTTTGCTTTGGTTTTCTTGTCTGTGAAATGAGATTAATAATACCTACCTCAAAGGGTTGTTTCAGGAATTACTTGATGATAAATAATATTTTGAAATACTTAATATGTGCCTGTTATCATAACTTGTATTATCCTATTTAAGCCTCACCACAGTTCTGAATCTCCATTTTTCTGAGACTTGGTTAAGTTAAGGGACTTGCCAGAAGTCAAACCTCTAGTAAGTGTGTAGGTGGGATTTGAATAGAAGCTGGTACTCTTTTATTTTATTTATATATATATTTTTAAATTTTTAAAAAATTTATTTAAGGGGTGCCTGGATGGTCTCAGTTGTTGTGTCTGCCTTCGGCTTGGGTCATGATCCACGGGTCCTGGGATTGAGCCCTGAATCAGGCTGCCTGCTCAACAGGAAGTCTGCTTCTCCCTCTGCCTCTCTCCCCAGCTTGTGCACGTGTGCATGCGCTCTTTTCTCTCAAAAAAAAAAAATTTTTTTTTGTTTTTTTTTTTAAAGTAGTCTCTACACCCCACATGGGACTCAAAACTCATGACCCAAGGTCAAGAGCTCCTCTGACTGAACCAGCTAGGTGCTCCAGGAGCTTGCATTCATAACTATTATGCCATTTTCTGCATGAAGAACCTGGCATACAAGAGAGCTCCTTGCCTCTCTACTTTTTCTACTTCACAAGAGGTCTGGAGACCTGCTTTCTCATTCCATCACTGATCCTAACTTATTTTTGTGACCTTGGGCAAGTCACTTCTTCAGACCTTAATTATCTCATCTACCTTCAGTAACGGGGCCTATATTTCATTCATCTTTGGTTCCTCAGCATTTAGCTGGACAGGATGTGCCATAATGAGTATTGAGTACTGAGGCAGATGATCACACTAGATGATCTGTAAGGGCCCTTTCAGTCACTACCTTCTTTGAACATCCTAAGTAGCTTATCTTCGGTTCCTCCTGAGCATCATATTCACCTTCTCCACCTGGCAGCATGACCTTATTTCCTCGTGTCTGTTTGTTTAGGCAGTCTTAATCCTGGGTACTTTGGGGCAGCCCGCATGGTGCCTTTGTTTATACTGGTTTGTGAAATACGTGTAGGACAAATACACCAGAGATAACACACGTAAGGGATGGTAAGGGCTGGCTCACAAAATCAGAAACCTGCTCTTATTCCATTCTTACCCGGTGGGGTCTGGACCTAGGGTAACCCTGCCGGCACAGTGCTGCCAGGCCTGAATAATGGCCACAGCTTGGAACAGGGTTTTCCATGAGCTCCATCGGGGTCTCCAATAATTGGAACATGGCACCTTCCGACTCATAATGGATGGCAGAATGAGAGGAGCATTTGTCACTGCCTGACTTCCCTGCAGGAAAGAGGCTCATAAGTCACAGCTGACAGACCCTTTGATGACTTTTAAACTTCATTTACAGAAAAGAATAGCTATAATCAACCAACAGCAAGCAGTGACTAATCTTGCCACATTATCACTGTGAGGAGCCGGCCCCTTAAGGTATAGGAAGGGGGAGGGAGGGCCATCCTCCAAGCTCACAGCAAGTGCTTATTGGCTCTTGGATGTGAGAGAATGCCCTCAGCAAGACCCCATGCATTTATGCCCAAAGGATTAGAAAGTGTTAGAAGCTGACCTCCTGGCTGGTACAGGGTGTGCTTAGCATGGAAGCCATTTTGGGCCAGAGCACTAGCTCTGGTCTCAAATTGATTGTAGCTCTGCCATTTCCTGGCTTGCCTGACTAAGCTCCCACCCTTAGGCTCCTCATCTGTGAAGTGAGGACAATACATACTATCACCTACCCCACAGCAGAAGACTGAGTGCAGTAGTAAGTGCTCAGTAAGTGTTGGTAATGATTATCACAGTCACATGTTTAACCCTGAAAGAGCTCTTTATGGTCACATGCTCCAGAGCCTGAGGTCATGTGGCACATCAGCAGCAAAGCCAGAATCAGTCTTTCTGTGGGAAGAAGGGAGGTCAGTGGGAGCAATCTAGTGGAGTAGAAGAACACGGCCTTTAGAACCAGATAAGCTTAGGGTCTTTTTATCCTAGTCATGCCATTTAATGTTACTGTGGACAGAATTATTTAAGCTCTCTCTGAGCCTCAGTTTCTTCATCTGAAGAGTGAAGATGGTAGTACTTAACCTCATTGAGTTGTGGTCAGGATTGTGAAAGATAAGTCTTGTAAAGCTTCCAACACAGTGCCTGGTATAAAGCTTCTGCATATTGAATTGTGTTCCCTTTTTTTTCTTCCTCAGGATAAGAATTAGTATGTAGCTATCAAGAGGAGAAGAGGCAGCACTGAAGAAATTCTCTTGAGACATTTTTTTTCCAGCCCTACTGTGCATATACTTGCAGGAGGGAGGGTAGAGCAGGGAACAAAGGAGAAGGGTATGTTTTGTGCATTGTACCGCAGTCCTTCCTGCCAGGCATGACCTCTCTCCCTACATCATCGCCTGGTAGGAATTCGACTTAAACATACCCTTTTTTTGTGGAGCCTTCTGTAATGCTCCTTCCCATTCTAATGTGCTGGAATGCTTTGTTTGGGCAACTTCTGGGACTGTGGACTCCAGCCCAGGCACATGTGCTTTGTAGTCATGGTGGATGTCCTCTTGATGTATTGGGTGTTCCTTGAGAATCAAGTACCAGACCAATTGCTGGATGAATGAGTTGGCCCAGTGAGTATTTGGATAGCTATAACTATAATTGAATGTGTGTTTGGATGGTTTCCTTTGACAAAAATAAAGAGGTTGACAATTATTTTTATTTTATTTTTTGTTTTCTTAAAAACATGGAACACTTCACAAATTTGTGTGTCATCTTGTGCAGGGGCCATGCTAATCTTCACTGTATCTTTCCAGTTTTAGTATTTGTGCTGCCGAAGCAAGCCCAATTTTTAGGTCCCTGAATGTAACTTAGTATTGGGGATTATAGGGCCAAGGTTGTACCTACTCAGTCCTTGCTGCCTTTCCCCTCATAGCTAGAAGGGCTGCTTGTTACAGATGCTAGCCTCAGCCTAAGGCCACAATCAGGGGTAGAGTTAGGGTGCAAGATACAGGGAAGATAAGGTATATACCCAGACTACACTGTGGGGAAAGGTGACTGAGGCCCCAGCCCTGCCTCTGCTTTGGGGCCTCCCCTCAGGGCCTATCAGATGCTGATAACAGTGTTATAGGAATAGAATTTCATGGTATAGCTGAGGAGTGAGTCACTGGCTCAGAAGGCTTGACACCTCTCCCACCTAATGTTCTTTCCTCTCCTAGCTCCTTATTAGTAGTACCTGTCAAATCAGGCATAGGCTGGGGGGATCTTTATTAAATTTCTAGGTTTGGTTCCAGACACTAGGACAAGGGAGAGAGTGTGTGTAGGCCCTCTGCTCCTGACTCCTCTATTCTTAGGCAGAGTATGGAGCACTGGGAAATGACAGGGGTAAAGAATATAGGGCTGGAATGTGGATGATCTAGAGTGCTGGGCTAGATGCATCTGTTTTCATAGGCCCAGGGCATTTGAGTTTCTTATGTAAATACCTACTGGTCCTAGTCATTATACCAGGCACTTTATACCTGTTGTTTCTAATAATTCTGGGATTGGTATAATTCCCATTTTGCAATTGAGGAATCTTAGGCTTAGTGAGTTTAAGGGGCATATTCTAAGTTTACATATCATATTTCTATTTTCGGTGAATTTTTCCCTTTATTGTTAGGAAATAGGTAAGAAACAGGTCAAAGCAAGTAGAAGACAAGGCCTGTGAGCACTTGTTCCCAGAATCTCCACAGTGCCAGCACAGAGGGGAATACTTAAGAAATGTTTGTTGAGTGAGTGAAGGGGATAGGAGTTTGGTAATAATATCTATAATCCTCTATCCTTTTATAGTATGTTACAGATGCAGCAGAGCACTTAAACAATGATTAGCCTATTTGATTTTGTATCAGATCTGAAAGGTAATTAGGCAAAGATTATTTCTCTTCTCAGAATAAGGTGATAAGGCTCAGAGAAACTGTGTAACTTGTTGGCAGGTCACACATCAGAACCAAGATCAAGCCTCCTGAACCTGTAGTCCGTACTCCTTACACTCCTAGGAGACCTCAGTATTCACATATTGGGAGCTGGGGTTTCTCATGTGAGTGGGAATTGTCAGGAACTAAAGAGCATTCCTTAGGAAATTAGTCCTGTCTGGCCAGTAATGATCATTTGGGCAATGCTAATGAGCTGGGGCCTGGTGAGTTTAATGAGATTAATAGATGTTCTGTCATCCTTGGCCTCCTGTTAACCAGGAGCCTCTGGACCAAGGAAGCCCTGGGCACTGATCAGTCTAATTGCTTGGCTTTGTCCAGAAATAGCCTTGCCATCACTGATAGCTATTTTCCTTCAAAACCGCCCAGTATCTCCAGGGTTATCTAAGGGCAGAGGTCTGGCCACAAGCTGGTGTGCTCCTCATCTGTACACTGGAGAATAAGGCCAGAGGTGCTCAGCGGGATTGGCCTAGACAGAGGCCCTACATAGCATTGAGGGGCATCAGGACCAAGAGCAGCAGCTCTTCTTTTGAAATTAGTGTTTTAAAAAGAAGAGATTCAGTGCCAGGGAGGAACTATGGAGTTGGAGCAGTAGGCATTCTGATGGCAAGTGCGTCAGAGGTTGTGCTGAAGATAGACTTGATCCCGATAGCTATGGTTGGGAGGGCATAAGGACTGACATGGCAGAGTCAGAGGCTTGGGACAGTTGCTGAAATAGTGGTGTGTAGAAACCTGTATTCAAGTCCCCTAGCTACTCCCCTTTACTAGGCTGAATGGCCTTAAGTAAGCCACTTACCTTTGCTGATCCTCAGCTTTTCATTATCAGACTGATAATGTCAGGATCAAGGATATAAACTGGTTTTGTTCACTAAAATCCTGTGCAAACATTGTAGTAGAAAGGGGAAGGGGCAATGATCAAGAAGAGGCTGTCATTGACTTGGGATGACACATTCTGTCACCTTGGCATTCAGTAACCAAGGCATCTCTGTGAATAGGCTTTATGGAGTCGAACAGATCTGAGTCGCAGTTCTGGCTTTGCTGTATTAACCAACCAATAACGTAGCCTCTCTGAGTCTTTATTCCCCTATTTAAAATACCTCTGCACAGGGCTGTTGTGAGGATTAAATAAGTTGGGGTGGGGATCCCTGGGTGGCTCAGCAGTTTCGCGCCTGCCTTTGGCCCAGGGCGCAATCCTGGAGTCCCGGGATCGAGTCCCGTGTCAGGCTCCCGGCATGGAGCCTGCTTCTCTCTGCCTCTCTCTCTCTATCATGAATAAATAAATAATAATAATAAAAAAACTTAAAAAAAAGATTAAATAAGTTGGGGTATGTAAAGTCTGACACTAATTAGAGGCTCTTCTTCCCTTGTAGTTCTCTGGGGGTCTCATTTACCCAGAGTTCAGGGCTGGTCATGTCTTAGGATTTTTCTACCTTTAGAAAGCCCTGTCACTTTACCACGTGTTCAGGCTTGGCTCTTGGATTCCATCTGAAATGTTTCAACTGGGAAAAATGATTTGTTTTTGCCAAATTTCCTCGTTCTTATTAGCTTGGAGAAATAAGCCCATCCTTTCGAGCTGTAAATTGCATTTCAAAGCATTTCAAAGCCTGTGTCACTTGTGGGTTTTAATTAGCTTTAGGGGCCCCCTTTTATGCAGCAATTGTTTCTCCAGCAGGTAAAGGTGAAGACACTTGGGAGCTGGTCCCCTAGTTTTCCTCAAAAATATCATATCTGGATTACCCCCTCCCAGCCCCGCACTGTCCCGAGGGCTTATCTCTCACCAGCCCAAAAGGAAAAATGGAATATAAGAACCCTAGACTTGGAGGACTCAGTGGGGTTCTTGGCACTGCTACTTGTGGGCTGGAGCATTGTGGCCAAGTCCATTGTCCTCTCTTCCTGAGAGTGAGGACATATAAACTCCATGTTCACTGAAGTCTCTGCTAATCCGACATTGCAGAAGTCTCTGGAAATAAGTCTGGTTCTTTCTCCTCCCCCTTCCTCCCACCAAGAACAGTTCCTCTACCCACCCCTCCTTGGTTCATTGCTAAGCATGGGGCCTCTAGGGGCTGCAGACACCTTGCTCTCAATTACACAGCTAATCTGTGAGGCAGAGCTTGGCCCAGGGGGAAATAGCTTATCAAGTCAAGCAGCTTCTGCTGAATAGGATGTCAATATTTTCTAGGGCTCCTACCCTAAGCCAGGGGGAAACCTGCAAAAACAAAAAATGAATTGTTTGGGGAAGATTGAATTGGGAATGGTTGGTCTATGGGGGGCAGTGGGGGTGTTTGGGTTAGAGATTCTAGTCTTCTACTGTGGTGCCTGGGACCTCAGCCCCCAGTGGTGTTCACCCTGCCCCCCCCCCCCCCCCAAGTAGGGCTATGCTCCTGGGATATTATTCTCACTGCTTCTTCCCTCATATCTCTTAATATTCATTGGGTACTTATTGTGTCCCAGGCTTCATCAGGCTTGCCTCTAACATTAGGGCAGAACAAAGAGTACAGATGGAGACTCACATACCATATGTCTAACTATTTGAAGGTCATAAAGTGAAGCTAACAAATTTTTAGGTTCATAATAACAACCTGGAAGACCATGTCTGAATTTAGAATTCTTGACTCTTTGGGATTCTGTGCTTGAATCTAGCAGTTCCAGAAGAGCTAGCCTGGGCACACTTTTCATTTTCTACCCCTAACTTGATCCCTCACTTTCAGGAGTCTCATAAATGCATTTAAACACAGAAGCCTTTCCATACCCTATAATAACTATCCCTTTGGGCTTAGGGAGTACACACAGTAGCAGCACAGACTGCCCTTAGGATGAATGTACGGGCCTTGAAAGCGATTGAGGGGCTGATTAGATAGGGAGTATAGGGAGGAGTTGGTGCTGGAGCATGCTTCATGCATGCTTCAGGTGGACATTTCTTCATGGCCCTGCGAATGCCTCACCGAGAATGGCCATAGGCATACATTTCCCCTGGTCGCTTCTCTGTATTAGCCTTTGTGTGATGTGGCTTCTGACTACCTATTCTGGGCATTGTTCAGAATGTGCTCCAGTCTGACCTTGACCTTCATTTAGAATGGGCCTCACCAAATGGCAGTGTTAACAAAAAGTTCAACTAGTCTGAGTAATATTAGATCCTATAAAGAGCTTCACCATTTACAAAGTCCTTCTGTGTGCATTGTCCTAAACCCCAAGTGATGAGAGAAAAGACTGGGTATGGCCAAACTTTGAAGAACTTTACTCACCAGCCAAGGAGTGACATGCTGATTCTGCTGTATCACCAAACAGAGATTGCTCAACAAATGCTTCCTGCTCAGTGGTTTTAGAGGCTCCAGCCAGAGGTCTGAGGGAACCCAGCATCTATCATGTCCCTGCCAGGTCATTGGCAGAGCCTAGTAGTCCTCAACAGGTCTGAACCATCATCCCCCTCTCTTTTTGTCTTGGTCTGCATCCCAGGCCAGTGGTTGGTTCCCTTCAGCCAAAGTAGGTAGCCCCTCCCTGAGCCAAAACTTCATGACTCTGAGCTGAACCAACCAGGAGAGTTATCTGATGCCCATGGAGAAGCCCCACACACTTTTTTTTATGTCCATGGATGGCTAAGGAATTAGCTTTTGAATGGCTTGTCATCTAGATAGGGGGATTATCTGAGAGGACTGTGAGGAATGGAGGGCTCAGGGGAACCCATATCCATTGAGCATTTTCTGTTGCTCATGGACAGTATTAAGTGTTCATGGGTGTGATATCTTTTGTGTTCCATACTGCTTGACAAATGATGATTGGATACAAAAGTAAACTGAGTTAACAAAGAGTTTGTCCCTTCTAGGCCCTTTCCAAAGCTTAGCACCAACTCTTTATCAATAGCAATACCCTCTCAGCACCCCCCCCCTTTTTTTTAACCTAGGATGGTGCACACTTGCCCCCAGTATATCCGTGGAGCTACTTACTGCAAGCCCACCATAGGAGTGGGTTTCTTCCTCTGCAATTGCTCTCAGGCCCCAGCTTTTAGTTTCTTTGTGATCAGTGCCACCTGCTGGTCAGAAGATGCCCTTTTCCAGGTTGGAGGGATTGAAGAAGAGTCTCTTACCTGGCGTAACAAAAGATATGCCTTTCCCAGCTTATCCTCTACTCTGCTCTAATTCCTTGAAAAGAAGCTCCCTCCGCCCAAAAATATTAGGTTAGTAGGCAGGTGTTTACTATTAACCTAGGCTGATGAGAGTTTTTATACATATTGCTTAGGGTCTTTAGCACCTTCTGTAATAGCTCTACGGCAGGGTATTGAAATAGTGTTACAAAAGGGAGTTGTACTAACCCATGCCAGTGAGCAGAAAGCCGGGCTGGAAGTATAAATACCAGTACTTAATGTTAGGCCTTTCCTGCTGTCACCAAGCCTCCCTTTCTGTTCCTTCTAGAGCCTGTTTTCTGATGCAACCTGTCTAGGGTCTGGGGTAGGAGAGATTTGTACAGCCCCTTGGGGTAAAAGACATTGCCAGAGTGTAGAGAGCAAAGAGTAGATACATTATGCTCTCTAAGCAAACAGTAAAATTTGAGTCAGTATAAAAATGAGTAATTCTAAAAAATTAATTTATTAAAAACAATTCTTAGGTAAATATGCTGACTTAACTATTACATTGGCTTTAGCTCTGGGAAAGGAGAGTGATAAAGCTGGGGGGGAAAAAGGGGGTGTGTAAGGACCAACTGACCTGAGTTTGAGTGCTCATTCCTGGCAAGTTAAAGAACTTATTGGGGTCTGTTTCTGGTAAAATATGAACAATAGTAGTGTTTATAGGGTCTTGTGATTATTCAATATTGTATGCCATCCCTAGCCGGCAGAGAGTGCTCAATGAGGCTTGTTTAGCACACTTTTTTAAAAATAGCTGGTACCAGTAAAGAAAGCCAAAAGGCTAGGTTGATGTCTGGATCAGACCCAAGCAATTTTCATAATGTGGTCATTGTTCTAGCCGATATTACTTGCAGTTTCCACGTGACTTCTTTGCCTTCTTCTACATGGAAGGAACAGAAGAAAAACAGTGGAAGGTCTTCAAATTTAGATCCTACATGGGGTAACGTTTCAGATAAACATTAAAGAAGGAATGGGGTTAAAATAATTAGACTCAAGCCAACCAGAGTTCAAATTGTAACCCTGTTGCTCATTAGCACTGTGGCATCTGAATGTGCATTTTTCCCTTGTGAAATGTCCTGGTTCTGCTTATCATATCAGTACCAAATGAGGGAACGTATATAAAGCACCTGGCCATGAGGTCAGCAGCCCAGCAAGATGTAAAATGGAGAGGCTGGATACTGTGGGGGTGAATGTGTAGCAGGGCACAAAGCAATCCAGTTTAGCCAGGATGTGGGCCATGGATAGCCCTTAAGCCCATCTGGGGGACCCAGCTTCTCTCTCATGGTGGCTCTCTCTCTTCAGGTGGCCACCATGTCCTTGAAGATCCAGACAAGCAATGTAACCAACAAGAATGACCCCAAGTCTATCAACTCTCGGGTCTTCATCGGAAACCTCAACACAGCTGTGGTGAAGAAGTCAGATGTGGAGACCATCTTCTCCAAGTATGGCCGTGTGGCTGGCTGTTCTGTGCACAAAGGCTATGCCTTTGTGCAGTATGCCAACGAGCGTCATGCCCGGGCAGCTGTGCTGGGAGAGAATGGGCGGGTGTTGGCCGGGCAGACTCTGGGTAAGTGTCTCTCCTTGGCCCTGCTTCTAGTATTTTTCTGAGCAGGTTCCAGCCTTCACTTTCTAGCTCCTCCCTAGGCACTTTTCTGTTTCCCTTACTACTACCCACTACCTCTATCTGAAATTATATTTAAGTTATAAATGAAGTAGTTATAAAATCTGCCTGTATGGGAGTATTTCAGGAGCTTCTTAAAAATGCTTCTGTCTTGTCTTTGCTTTCACAGTGACTCTTAGTGACAAGCCTTATAGTTCCAGTTAAAATGCAGATTCCTAAGAGAAAAGGAAGGGTGGACTAGCATAGCCTATTACATTGGGCTACAGATGGCTTAGGTTAGAACTCTTTATGAGAGCCAGGAGGAGGGGCTGGGAGCACAAGGTAAAGCGGTGCCTTTGGCCTTGGTGCTGTGTATATATGATGTGGCCATGTGGCAAGTCTACCTTGGAGGGTGTACAGTGCACCTACTTCTGTGTATCTTGTGTTCAAGAAGAGATATCTGTATATGTGATATGCAGATATAGCTAAGCATGTGGAGAACATGTGGACACATCTTTAGTATGTATATATATGCAAATGGGTGTCAGAATATACTAGTGCATATAAGCAGATATGCATATTTATATACACACATCTATCATGCTGAGCATCATTCTAGGTATAAAGATATTTGGTAGGACATTTGCTTGAATGTGCAGTGGCTCATTTGTGTATGGGCAGTTATGTATATGGACGTTGGAGTCAGCTATATTATTTGATTACTTGGATACATGAACATGTGTGTGAAGATATGTATTTGCAGTATTTATTTACATGAGTGTACTTGAGAATGCATATATATGTGTGATGCCCATGGCATGTGTACGTGAGTGAGAGGTTTGTGAGCATGCATGCAGGTGTCTGAATGTAAATTTGTAAATAGGTGTATCTCTGTGATGTGCGGGTACGAATCTAATGTGTAAAGACCTGTTGGTTGTTTTAGTTAGGAAAGTCCATGTGTACCTCACATAAACATATAGAAATTGCTGCTCACGTGTGTGTGATACGTGTTTGGATACCCTACTGTTCTGCCTGCATCTGACTGTGCCTCCTCCCTCCCTCTACGCAGATATCAACATGGCTGGAGAGCCCAAGCCCAACAGACCCAAGGGGCTAAAGAGAGCAGCATCTGCCATATACAGGTGGGGCGCTCTGTCTTGTCTCTCTCCATCTGGGTGGGATTGGTCCCTCTTTCCACAGAGGGAGTGAACACTGGTTGGTGACAGTGTGGCGAGCCTAGAGTCTGGGGAGGCATTTGGAGATGAGGACCTATGGAGAGCGGGCTGAGTGGCTGTCCCTAAGCCCTGGCCCTCTCCCCTTTGTTTCCCCAGTGGCTACAGCTTTGACTATGATTACTACCGGGACGACTTCTACGACAGGTGAGCAGGGGGAGGGGCGTGCCCAGGCATGAAACAGCCAAGCTGGAAGGGTCCTGAGAGATTGCTGGTGCAGCCCACTCGGTCCTCCCAAGTGTGAACCAGAGCCCAGAGGTGTGGACAGGCATCTGCCCAAGGCTGCTCCACAAATTGGTGGCAGAGCTGGAACTAGGGTCTAGTTCTTCAGGTCCCCAGGTCAGAGTTTCCCCCACTCCACACTGTCTCCCACTCTCTGCCCTTCCTCCTCCTAATCTGAGGGTGGGGCTCAACAGGACTAGGTAGCAAGAAACATTTAAAAATAGCAAGTTGAATTAGAGGTTACTAGGCACAGGGAGTTTGAGTCCTCTCACTCGTGCTGTTCAGTCTCCTTACCTTTTGGAGGTGCTCAGCCAGGTGGAAGGGACCTCAGAGCTCAGTGTGAGCCTCTTGGCCTTTCATTTATAGCTAAGAGGTCAGCGATCCTTTGGAGGTCTGAATTAGACCTTGGTAGTCTGTGGCCCCCTTCTTCATCAGATTGCAGCCTTGAGCTCTGAACTCCATTCCATGGCACCAGCCACCTTCTTGAGTGAAAATCATGATGGGGCTGTTCCAAACTTCTTCTCTCCCTCCTGCTTGGCCTATGGGAAGGAAGAACAGAACCTCTCTGAGCCTTGGTTTTCTTACCACTGAATGGTTTTAGGAGACAGTGCGGTGTAGTGGAATGTTCCCTAGCCTGGGAGTGAGAAGACCTGGGTACTAATCTCAGCTCTGCCACTGAATGGATCATGTGTCTTTGGGCAGATCCCCTCCCATTCTATGAAATGGGCTTGCACCAAGTGATCCCTCAGGGCTCCTCCAGCTCTGGGGTTCTGTGGTTCAGTGATTCTGACCCAGGCCAGAGCCGCCCCCTCCCCTTAGGGGCAGAAATGCAGGGTCTGGGACTGGATCCATTCCCAGAGACTCTTCATCTCCAGCCATCACCACCCTAGGACAGGGGCTCTCTGAACAAAGGAGTGCCAAGCCATGGGGCATTGAATTGCCCAGTGTTGGCATGTTTCCTGGCTGTCACCAAAGTGATCCCACAGTGTACCCCTAAGGCTGCTGTTCCCTGCAGAAAGGTAATAGTAGCAGATGTGGTATGAAAGACCCCTCCTCAGCCTATGAGCTTCTGCCTAATGAGCAGGAAAAGAAGCCCTCTTGGAGAGGGCTGGGTGTTGAAATTGAGGGCAGCATACAGTTGGAGAGCCCAAGGTTCTGATTGAGCTGCCTAACCTTGATATTCTGCTGGATCTCTTCCTGTCCATCTGTGAAGTGGACTAAGAGGAATGGGGTAATTAAGGGGGCTCAGAATGAGGACAAGGGCTTGGACTCCAGCCTCATGCCTCTGAGGTCATAGGCTCCCGGTTTGACAGTCTTAGTACCCTGGCCTTCCACCTGTCACATCTTTTAACATGTGTGTTTTTAACCAAGTTTCTCATTCTTTGCCTGCACAGCAGCCTTGGGGGTGGGGGGGGGGGAGTTGGCACAGAATTTAAGGTAACTGTCCTCATGAAGCAAATAAAAACTGAGGCTCAAAAAACAAAACAAAAACAAAAACAAACAAAAAAAACAACTGAGGCTCAGGCAGGTTTAGGGATTGTCCATTCCTACATCTTTTTGTTCTGAGTTGGCAATTTGCATTGCTTTAGGGACATTTGCAATCTCTGACCAGAGGTTGGGGTGGCAGTTGACTCAGCAGAAGACAGGTCAGGTAATAACAGGCCTGGGTATCAGGGGGATCTAGGGAAAGCTCCTTTCTGGGGCTGGTCTGTTGGCTCATTTTGTGAACCGGGACTATAACCATTACCACTCACCTGCCCTTACCCAATCTGGCTGGTAGGAAAGGTGGATGTAATGAGAGTCTCAGCGGCTTTTAAGGTCTGGAAAGCCTTTCCTCTACCCTCAGGTGGCTTGTTAGGTCCGTAGAGGTGTAGAGTGTAGGCTGCCCACCAGCCGCATGTTGGTCTAGAGTCGCAGTGCCCTCTGGTGGCCACAGGCCATGCTGCAGCCTCTGGCCCATTTACCCCTACAGGCTCTTCGACTATAGGGGCCGCCTGTCACCTGTGCCAGTGCCCAGGGCGGTCCCTGTGAAGCGACCACGGGTCACAGTCCCCTTGGTCCGGCGCGTCAAAACCACCATACCTGTCAAGCTCTTTGCCCGCTCCACAGCCATTACTGCCGGCTCAGCCAAGATCAAGTGTGAGTGACTAGAACTTCTTCATAGATGATTTTTATTTTTCTCATTAGCAAAATAATAGAATCACATATTTTTACATTGGAAAATAGATGAAGGAACAAATCTCCCACAGTCGCGCAGCTCTACCACAACCAAGTGAGTATTTTTATGCATTTCTAAGAGGAAAAGGCTAACATTTGAGGAGGAGGGGCTTGGGTTGGACACAGAAATGTCCAGTGCTGTCACATGGAACCCAGTAAGGACAAGGTGTCCTTTTTTCTTTAGTAAGGGCAAATTTGCCCAGGCCCACTACTCCATGTTCACTCTGGTGTACACATGCTGCAGTCAGGCACCCAGGAAATCTGATGATAAAACACATTTATATACCTGAAATCTAGGCATCATCCTATAACACTAGGAAAAACAAAACACATATGCTTGCTCAAGTGCATATCACACCTGCATTCTTACCATCTCTAGTCCCTTTCAGGAGTTGAGATCAAAGGGGGAAAGTCCCCAAGTTCAGAAAGGTGGGCTGGTTACTATACACGTGGCCTCAGAAGTCTTGTAGTGAAGTCCATGGCCAGCTCCAACCTTTTTCTCTGCCAAAGAACCACAGATGAGACAGTTCCTACCACTGGCCTGCCTTCTGAGTTGGCAGAAGGGGGCTAGGGTCTTATGTTAGTGTCAAGTTCCCAGCCCCTGGGTGACAGCCCTATGCTCCTTTCACTCCCAGTAAAGAGCAGTGAGCTGCAGACCATCAAGACAGAGCTGACACAGATCAAGTCCAACATCGACGCTCTACTGGGCCGCTTGGAGCAGATTGCCGAGGAGCAGAAGGCTAACCCAGGTCAGCTTCCAAGGGTCCTTGCCTAGCTCAGTGACCAGGGGTACAGGACAGAGCATGGGGCGAGGACAGTGCACAGGGCATAGATTGTCCATGGATCCACCATGGTGAGGCTTACCTCCTGCTATTACCCTGGGCAGCTGCCCTAGGCTGAGTTTTATTCCCTTCTTCCTACCCCTTTTCCCCCAAGATGGCAAGAAGAAGGGCGACAGCAGCAGTGGCAGTGGTGGGGGCAGTAGTGGTGGCAGCAGCCGGCCACCAGCCCCCCAGGAGGACACAGCTTCTGAAGCAGGCACACCCCAGGGAGAAGCACAGGCTCGAGACGACGGCGATGAGGAGGGGCTGCTGACGCACAGTGAGGAAGAGCTGGTGAGGGCACAGCTGGGGAGGGGCTTGCAGGAGGGCAGCAGTGGTAGGGGGAACGAGCTGGACAGTGGCCCTATGAGTCTCTTCCTCCCTCTTTCTCTTGAGATTCTAGCCTTGTGAGGAAGAGCAGGGGCATGTCTGCTTCAGCTGCCAGTCAGAAGTCCCACTGAGGTAGACCTCTCTTTAGTCCAGAGCCCATTCTAGATTCACTTTCTACATAATCTGGAGGAGGGAAGAGTCAGGGGCTAAAGGGAGCACACATAGTCTGTAGAGTTCCGGGGGGCCAGGACTGGAATTGCCTGGGAAAGCCACAGGAAGTTTGGCTGTCCACTGTACCTGAGGCTTTTCTAAAAGCCATTACTGCTTAAGTAGGAAACAGGTTCTCTTGAGGGAGGCCTGGAAGGATCTCTCTGTCTGGTATTGGAACCAGGAAGCTGTTGGCAGGAGCGTGTAAGTAGGAAGGTAGACCAGACTCAGTATGTGAGATAACTGTTGTGTGCTTACTGTGCATTACCTAATGGGCACCTAATGAGCACTAGGCCTTGTAGTTTTGTTTGTTTGTTTTAATTTTTTTTTAAATTTATTTATTTATGATAGTCACAGAGAGAGAGAGAGAGAGAGAGAGAGGCAGAGACATAGGCAGAGGGAGAAGCAGGCTCCATGCACCGGGAGCCCGATATGGGATTCGATCCCGGGTCTCCAGGATCGCGCCCTGAGCCAAAGGCAGGCGCCAAACCGCTGCGCCACCCAGGGATCCCAGCCTTGTAGTTTTTAACTTAATGTAAACCGTAACAACAGCCTTGCACTGTGCAAAGTATTATTCTTCCCACCTTTTTACTCAGTGAGGAAACTGAGGCTCAGAGGAGTAGAGTAACTTGTTTGGAGCTTTATAACTAATAGAGGCTGAGCCAGAATTAGAGCCCAGACTTCTTTACCAGATCTGGAACTTTTTCCTTTTCATCGAAACTGGGTTTTGGCACTAAAACATAAGGGCTCATGGCCACCATAGTTAAGAGGTCCTCCTCATGCCCCCAGCTCATCTCTCCTTTTTGATCCAATTACTCTCTTAGGCATAGTAGTCTTCTAACAAAGGCTTAGATGCCCCAAAGATGGGGAGCTGGTCTGAGGGCCCCCAAAAAGAAGGGACCAGTCAAGGACGTTCTAGGTATAGCAGGGGACATGTTTCTACACAGAGGGTCTTTCTTTTCAGGATCCCAAGCCAGTTATATGGAAACTGTTCCCATAATCATTCCCCTTGGCTGTCTATCCTTCTTTTGGAGTATGGTCTCCAGATGTGCTCAGGGCCTCAGGGACAACACAGAGTTGGTAGTGAATGATGTATGATCTCTTGTTGCCTCCTCCCTATCAGGAGCACAGCCAGGACACAGACGCGGAGGATGGGGCCTTGCAGTAAGCAGGTACGGGGGTCCTGGTGGTCAGCCGGTGAAGTGAAATGGCAGGCATGCCGTGAAGCAGACCTGGCATGGGTCATACTATGCCCAACAAGGAAGGCCCCTCTATCCTCAGCCATTCTCCCACGTTTCTTTGTAGTAAAAGCAGGAGTCATGGATGGGCTAGCCGGGCCAGCCCTGCAGGGGTTCCCTCGGCGCACTCTGAGCCGTGTTGCCCATCTCCTCCACCTTTGAGGAGCTGTGAGTCTGATGCAAGAAGATACAGACCATCAGCATGAACTTGATGATGGGCTGGAGAGCCGGGTAGTCAAAGAGGGGTGTGATGGAAGAGTTGATAGTATGTAGCTAAGTCTGTTCAGGATTGAGGAAGAGGCATACAAGGGAACCGCTTAGCAAAAAGCACAGGGCTCTGGTGGTCCTCAGTCTGTGGGAGATGGCCAGGAGCCTCCTGTGGCCATAGCCCCCATTCTGCATGGTAAGAGAATTCCTTGCCCGCTGTTCATCATCAGAGGGTGATGGTTGTGCTGGGCTTAGGGGCTGGGACTTGATCCAGCCAGAGGAAATGCCCTCTGTGCCAGAAACTATCCCAGCCCTGCAAAGTTGTGATTATGCTAGCATCATGGATGTGGGAACAAAGGCACCAAAGGGGGCAGGGGGGGTAGCATCCCCCTGGTAGTATCCCACCAGTCCCAACGTGGTGATTGGTGGAGCCTAAATTTGAGTCCAGTGTTATGTGGACTTAAAGCCTACTCCCTGGCTGGTGTTCACCACCCTGCTCTGCCCCTTTCCTTGGGGGACTCTGTTCAGGGTAAGACAGGCGTGGGTAGAGGAAGGCCTCAAAACAGCACAGCTATCTCTACATATGACACCTCCATGCTATGAGCTGCTCCACCAGCAAGATTGTCCCAGACAGTTTCGGAAATTCTGTATCCGCAGTCTATCCTCTGGGAGCTTCCTGATTGGTTTTACTAGGGAAGCTAAGTTTTACCTCATGAAGCCAGTTCACAGATGATGTGCAGGGCTCAGGTGAAGAAATGGAGACTTAGGGCGAGAGAGACTGACCCAAGGTTGCATGGCCAGAAAATTAGAAGGCCAGAGCCAGAGTGTAGGTATATCTCTGTCTGCAGATAGCAAACACCATTCCCTTTTGTCTTCCCAACCCCAATTATCAAGAGTACCAGGGGCTCTTTCTCCCAGCTTCAGTCTCTCCTTTGTCTCTCTCTTTCTCAGCCTGACAGGAGCGATGGCCACCGGCAGGAGAAGGGCGTGCACTGTACCAGGCCTAAAGCTGGGCACCCACCCCTGGAGACCACCCCCGGCAGGTCCCAGGAGAGCTGGCAGCAGGCACCTCCTCCCCTACATATCCCAGCCAGTGCCACATCCTCTGCAGGTGGAGTTATCAGCCTCCCGTCCCCACACGCCCTCTCTGTTGGCACTGCCCAGGCCAGAGGGCAGAACACAGAGGTTTCCCCACACTCTACCTCCCCTCCCAGAACACTCCCAGGCTTGGAGTTTTTCTATAGGTTTGGAGTTGGGAGGGTTCCAGGGAGGGTACCCGGACAATAAAGAGATTGGATCCCAACTTGCTCTGAGATGGGATGGTTTGTGTTTTCTCAAAGTACCTGGGCCCTCCTGCCCAGCCAGAGTCTGGTCTAGTCTGTTTCACCCTATTCTTTTTCGTTTTCTTTTTTTTTTTTTTTTAAAGATTTTATTTATTTATTCATGAGAGATACACAGAGAGAGGCAAAGACACAGGCAGAGGGAGAAGCAGGCTCCATGCAGGGAGCCCGACGTGGGACTCGATCCCGGGTCTCCAGGATCACACCCTGGGCTGCAGGCGGCGCTAAACTGCTGCGCCACCAGGGCTGCCCTCACCCTATTCTTTTTCTCCCTCACTCCTGTCTAGGGAGCAGTTGTCCATGGTGAGTTATACTGGTCTATCTGGGCCTTAGTTTTCACAACTAAAATGGGGATAAAAATGGCCAGTAGGGTTGTTGGGGAGGGTCAGATGTCCCTGGTGGCTGAAATGTCAAGCAGTTGTGACCCACTTAGGCAGTGGTAGGTCCAGGTCTCAGCTTCTCACTCAGTCTCATTTTTCCCTGCTCTGAGATGATTTTAGAATCCACCTCTTCCTCTCCTTCCCTGTCATAGTTGAGGACATTATGTTTCTTTTACTCGGGCTTGTCCTCTCACAAGCCTCCCAGTCTCTGGCTTCTCCCTCCCCCATTTCCCACTGGCCACCACAGTGCTTTTTCTGAGTCCTGTCTCTTCCCTGTGAAACCTTTACCTGACTGCTCACTATCAGGACAAAACCCTAACTCCTGCACGTGATCGTGTATGCCTTGGCCGCTCCTGCCTCTTCTTTTTCCCACCTCTTTCTTGGCCCGCTCAAAACAGGTCCTTCATTCTCCTAGGCAGCAAGAAATTGAGCCCCACACTCCAGTTACCTCAAGCAGTAGGAAGTTGGCGTCGGAGTACCTGTGCCTGCCTCTGCCAGTCTTAGGCCATCTATCCAGGTGTTTGTTCTGTTCTCTGGCGATATTTCTTCAAATTTCCATTTCTGTCCTAACTTCACCTTACAAGTTGAGCAATTCCCCTGTGTTCAAATTCCCGGGAGAGGTCACCTGCCATAGCAGATCTTTTTTAGTAACTCGTGGGTTCTGAGTGACTTCTCCGGACCTGTGAACTGGGTGACTAAGGTGTGGCCACTTGGGCTGGTCTTTGTTCCAGAGTCTGGCACGTACTCTTGCTCCTACTTTTTCCCCCTAAGAAATTACCACTCATAATTAAACTGCTTTTCTAGTGTTGATACCTTTGAGAAGTCTCTCGGTCTTTCTTTTTAAAGATTTTATTTATTCATGAGAGACAGAGAGAGAGGCAGAGACAGACGCAGACACCCTGTGGGGAGCCCAATGCGGGACTCGATCCCAGGACCCCCAGGATCACGACCTGAGCCAAAGGCAGATAAGTCACCAAGGTACCCTTGAGAAGTATTTCTGATCAGCCTACTGCTCTTCACAAGTTGTTCATTCTGTCTTCTAGGCAGCCTTCCCCAACACCGGAAATCTGGTCCCATCATCACAAAGGGTTTTGGGTTCTCCCTCCATCTTTACATGTTCTTCAAAGTCTCAGGCCTGCTGGAATCCTTACTAAAAATCCCTTTTTGGACAAGCAGTTCTACAACACAGCCTCCATCAAACTTCCTCTGGGCTTTGGCTCCAGGTTTTGGATAGAGGATGGGCTTGAGATAGCACTCAGGCTAGGTTACTCTGGGTATGGAATCATCCAGGGAAGTCTTTGTTGTCTCATGGCTCCCTCCTTGAGCAGTCTTCCTGCCTGCCATTGACAGGCTAGCAGTCTGAAGACTGAGTATGGGTATGCATTCCCAAGCTGTGCAGGGGACTGATAAGCCAGCCATTAAGACTGCCAGAGTTCTGGACCCACGCTGTGCCAGATGCCCCCATCCCTGCTTGGCTGTTGCCTCTTCTGTGCCGTGGAGCAGTTACTGCCCATTTGGAGCTATAGCTAGCTGCCCAGTGGTATCACAGTACCCATATATGTGCCTGCTAGAGATCCTAGGCAGTAGGGAGAGAGTGTAGAGGCTGAGACCTTCAGTCTCTGAGAGATCAGACCTCGGGTGAAAAACAGCCCTTGGAACCGGACTGGGCCCTGGCCCAGATTACTCAAAAGGCTTCAGTCTAGAGCAAGGTGTCCAGCAAAAAGGGCTAGGTCCACAGGGAATGTCACACTCTCCCAAAGAGCCCTCTAGTCCCTGTACTCCCAGTGTATGCTTGCTGTCCGGAAGGCCAGAGCCCAGTTCTAGCAGACTCCCTTGCATACGTGTACAGGTCTTTGTGTCCCTACCTTGTACACTGGCCTGGACTGGAACTTGGGCAGAGTCCAAAGAAGAGATTGTTGGACCTTGGTGGACTTCATCCTGAGGGCCAACACCATGTTCCTGTGCCCCCAGAGCCCAGTGCTCTGTGCCCATTGCACTGTAATAACACTTTCAGACTCTACAAGGCCCTACTCAGTAGTGCTTGACTGAGGCACTCACTTTTTGGTGCTTGGGCGATGGGTAGAAAGGAGAGGCTCTGGGCTTCTGTAGTATGCTAGGCAGAAGAGCAGGGAAGCAAGAAGGAGCTGGCCCCCCCAGAGGCCCCTGCTCTGCTGATCACCCTGGCACCAGGACATATGCTGGACAGATTGAGATCCCCATCCTGGCACCCCAGAAAAGCTCCTAAACTAGCTTGAGAGGGAATTCGTATCCACAGAACCCTGCTTACCCCTGCCCATCCTCCCCATGTCTAGGGCAGGAAAGACCTCTCCCATTCCATTCTGATCAGGTTTTGTGTATTTGTTTAACCTCTGAAAACCAAAAAGAGATGAAAAACTGTGCTATCAGATTTTGCCCAAAGGACTGATATTCCCTAGGTGTTTTAAAGATCTGAAGCCTCATTTGTGATCCTGGCAGCTCCTTGAAGGAATATCACAGCCAGTGGGTTTATTGGATTGTGAAGAAGGCTTTCTTTCTTGTACTGTTGCCGATAAGGTTTGTGACCCTGGGCAAGTCTTGTTCCTTGCTAGGTCTCTGTTTACTTATCTGTATGAGGGGTTGGCCTAGGTCAGGGATAGTAAGTGGGCCTTTTATCAGTCATTAACTTGTATAACAAACCCACTCCAAAATTTAGTACCTTTAATAAACATTTATTAGCTTCTGAAGGGGTGGTTTGGCAATTGGGGCCATGCTCAGCTGGGTAGTTCTACTTCATTTCATCTGGGCTTTGATGTGGCTGAGGTGAGTTGGCAGATTGGCTAGGAGCCCTTGGGATAACCTCACCCACTTGTCAGGTGGTTGGCCAGCCAATGGGGCAGCTGGGCTGCATGTTGCCAGCATCTAGTAGGCAGGAACCAGGTAAGCCCCAACATGCAAGTGCTCTTTAAGTTCCTGCTGGTGCCATGTCTGTCAGGTTCTGTTGGCAAAAGCAAGTCATGTGGTTAAGTCTAAAGTCCTCTTAACTTGAGGAGCTTCAAAATAGGGCCATAATTTGTTTTTAATACTTCTCCAGCCTTGTTTCATTTGCCATTCAGAATGGTTAGTAGCATGCTTTTTGAAGATTTGGAACTTCTAGACTATTAGGAAATAGTAACATAATTCAATCATGTGTTTTTACGGATGAGGAGTTGAAATGTGGGTTTATGAGTGAATCTTCCAGAAGGAAAGGATCTCCAGAAAGAAAACAGGAGTTCTGTTGCTGGAAGAAGGGAGGCTTGGGTTGACACAAACAACAGGTCTCCATTGGGTAGTTGTGCCCGTTTTGTATATTTTTTTTTATAGATGTGAAGGTTCTAAAACTTGGCCCCATTGACAGCATCTATACCTTCTCCCCTTTATCTGAACTCTGGCTGTTTGATGAGCAGAATACAGTGATGGTGACGCTGTGCCCATCTAACAGTTCTGTTCTTAAGAATTAACAGTTTCCACTTCTGTGTCTTGAGACCCAGCCACCATGCTGTGAAGAAGCCCAGACCACAGAAAGGTCTTGACAACCCCATCTTCCAGCTGACCGCCAGTGTCAATTGTCAGACATGAGTGAGGAAGCCTTTTAGACAACTCCAGCCCAGCCACTGACTGAGAACAAAGTAAGACCCTAGCTCATCCCAGTCAAAGCCCAGCACCATGAGGGGAATAATCCATGATTGTCATTGTTTTTAAGCTACTAAATTTTGGACTGATTTGTTCTATGTCAGTAGATAACCAGAACACAAACTGAGGCTCAAAGAGGTTAAGTAGTTTGCTCTATTTTAGGAGGACTGGGTTAAGAGTAAAGACTTTGTGTTGTACTGAGTTCTAATCTGGATTATATGTTGTATGACTACAGGCAAGTTAGTTAACCTCTCTGAGCCTCATCTTCCTCCTCCTCCGAGAAGCAGAAAAGACCACATTGTTATTTTGACAATACTTAATAAAGGAGTTTATTTATTATTACCTAATCCAGATACAGGTGATTTTTCTCTTAAAAAATAAGACTATAATTTTTCCTTTTTTTCCTACTCCCTTTATATTCACTTTGTTCCAAAATATGTTTCGGACAGCTTACAAAGAGAAAGTCAATAGAATATTATAAAAAGGAGGTAAGGAAGACATTGGTAAGCCTTTTTTTCCCTAAGAGTTAATGCCATCAAGAGTAGTGTGCCTGTCTGGTCACTAAACCTGTGGGACTGTGTATATGAATGAGTGGACACCTGCCTCTTCTGACTGGTGAGTGGGCCCCTGGTGCACACATCCCCTTCCTTGCACCCCTGCCTCAGTCTACGTCCTGACGGAGCTCAGATGATCATAGTGTCCTCCTATAAAGGTGCAGTAGCCAAGTCTTGGGCAAGTGCATGGGTTTGGCTTTTCCAGGTGCACAGAACAGAAACAGGGTTACCTTTTCCCATTTTCTGACCTGGACCCCATTTCTTGCCCATCCTCCAGTCCCTTCTAATTATAAGCCCCCTCTTACCTCTAAAACCTACCTGCAGTGTTTCCTCTACCCCCTACACAGCCCAGTGTCCAGTTCCCTAACCACGGAGGAAGCT